AAGGTCTTGCTGATTGTATTCAGTTTTGATTGTTTATATCATGAATCATATGATTTGTTCCAGGGACTTTATTTCTTTTTAAATAAAGGCATAGAATAAATCAGGTTGCAAATCAGGAAAAAAAAGCCTTTTAGGAAATACCCCAAATATATTCTATGGCACTTAGTAAAAATCTTGAAAAAACACATGGGTAAAATATCCCCTCTATTGGTATGTCATAAAGGATTAATTTTTACAGAAATGAGATGAGTTTTGTGTGTTATTTCTAAAATTTGGAAATAATATTTCCCTTTCTGATTATGACAAACTTCCACAAAAGAGAGAGAAATGTGTTCTGTTCTGATACAGTTTCTCAAAACAGCTGAATCTCAATGTGCATGATCTCCCTTACTAATTCCTATTATTACACAAAAATATAGTCATCCAAAATGGTTTTACTTTACCATTTTGTACAAACATTTAGCTTCATGAGAATCTCTGCCCTGCAGGTGATGTGGTATCACAAGCATTCATGGCAGTCTACAGGACAGATATGGTATGATTCTACCATTGGAGACTAACAACCAATATTGACATGAACTGTGGCAGAATAATGAACATAGGGGAGAACTCATTTTTGAGAATAATAGACTACCAGCTGTGGCTTTGAGATTGGCTTTTAGATACTAGGGGAGATTCTCACCTGGTATAAATCAGCGTAGTTTCTTTGGTCTTGGTGGTGTTTTGTACATTGTAGATGTGACATCACATGGACTTTTTGCATAAGAAAAAATTTATTACACACTTACTACTTATTTCCTTTTTATTTGCTTCTGTGAGAGCTTTCAACATAATTTCTAATTGTAAGAATATATTCCAATCATAGTGGGATAAAAATGACCAAGCACTTTGAGGCAGCAAATGTGTTTTTCCTTACCAACAGATGAATGCAAACCTTGGTTCATTTTCTATAGAAGCCTCTCACCATCACAATCAATCATAAACTGAAGTGCTCTGCTGAAGAAGGGACACACTGCATGAAACCATTACAGTAGCTCTGACTTCTGACAGAGCTGCCCCAATCAAGAAGAGGAAAAACAAACGTTAAGTTCCTTTTGTGGTTGTACAGTTGTATCTTAAACAGGTAAACATCACTTAATACTAACAGATCATACAAACATAAATTCTCCGCACTGAAAAAGCCAGAATTTTCAAGGTGGGCAATTAATGAAACCAGTATATATATCTTATACTACATATGATATTGCTATATTCAAATTTTATTTTTAGGGTAACTATTTATTTAAGACAAAGCTGAAGTATGTTAAATGTCTCTTTCGAAGCCCACATGAGTATTTTTTCCAAAGGAATAATGTAGCAAGTTAGTCAATATCACATTGTAGAAAGAAACAAAGTTCACCAAACATCTGGAAATATTAGGTCTGATCAAAATGAAGCTTATGAGCCCTAAAATGTTTCCTCTGCATCATTTGGAGGTACTCCTCATGCTTGAAAAGCTGTCTATCAGTTAGATAAAACAAGACTCCACTCTGAACTGAACAAATGGTTGTTGATGTTTTACTACATAAAGTAAGGAAATAGTATAGATTTGACTTGCACAGGATTTTAAAGTATACACCATCTTGGTTTTAGTAGTGTTGGGCAGATTTAGGTTAGAATAGAATATTTCAGTTGGAATGTGATCATCTAGTCCAACTACCTGGCCAATTCAGGGCTGAACAAAAGTTAAAGCTGTTAAGGCCATTGTCAAAATGCCTCTTAAAGACTGGGGACACTGATCACCTCTAGGAGCCTGTTCCAGTGATGTTCCATTTTGTTTTATTGGGAACTCAAAACTGGGTCAAAACAGTTTGGCATAAAATATTTTCTGTCAAAAATGGGACAAATTCAGAAAACTCAATTTTAAAGACACAAAACTTAACAAAACAGAAAAGGTCAAGATAGTTTTATATAAAAACATGACTTTTTTTACGTTTTTAGCATGTAAATAGTCCTGTTTCATGCAAAGCAAATTTTGCAACAAAGTAATAGCTGTATTAAAATGGCAGTTTCCAAGCGCGTAAATCCTAAGGTTATTCTTGAATCTATAGCTGCTTTTTGTTTTATCTGATTGCTGACTATGCAACAGTCTACAACCATAAGAGTAGTGATGGAGAAGAAATTTTATTTCATCTGCAAAATAAAAATCCACACCAATTTTTTGACAGCCCATCTGGGCTCTCCAGATGTTAACTAGAGATGTGCACCAAAGCTCAAGGAGCATCTGCATTAACCTCAAAACCAATCTTCAAAACATACACTTGGCAATCATTAACACACAGGTTTCTCCATCTGCCCAAAGATTACCCCCACCCCACCCTTAAAATCTGATAAGGATGCCCTCAAAATTGAGACACTCCTATGCTTGGTCAAAACCTATTTCTGACTGCTGTGTTCTTTGTTAATATTCAGAATATATCAGCACTTTATGTGCAGAAGCAGATCTGGGGCAGGCATGATATTTCCACAGCTCACTCCAGCTCAGGTATAGAAACTGAATATAACTCAAGCTTGAATTCCTTCTATGTGAATATAAACTTAAATGTTTCACATGTTAAACAGGTTTTTAAATCAGCAAGAGATGCTGCTACATCCCCCCAATTTCTCTGCTGATATAAAGTCGTCATTAATCTGCTAATTGAAAACACCTAACTCAATTCACTCTAAATCACCATTGTATTGTGGAATATAGAGCTTGCTCCATATGGAAGATGAACTAGGAGCTACAGCTCAGACACCTCCTACTAATCTATAAAAATGCATTTGATACATCAGGGTTTGTCTGGAACTGTGGGTTGACTCTTGTACTCATTTCTTTCAAGAGGGAAAACACTCTGTTGTTCCTACCTGGGGGAATGGCTGCCCACAATCTCCCAGGTGGTGCCACTGTCCCCTGGGACAACCTATGGATCAACAGAAAGTATTGCCCAGTCTCTACATTCTGCATTCAGAAAAATCTCTATCTGCTACCTCAATGGGGGCTGTTTATTCCCAACATGCTAATTTTGAGCCCTTCCCTCAGGTACCCAACTCTCCAACAAAGGGAAAATGTTTCTATTGAGACTGAAGTACTGTATTACAAGTGGAAGTAAAAGATTACAGGTTTAAAAGACACAGTAAAGGCAATATTACTCTTTAACAATAACAGGAGTTCTTCCCAATTGCTACAATATTCATCTCAAATACTTACGGCATCTCTCAGATGTGAAAGCCAGAGAGAAGGTAGAGGAAATCACCTCATTTCCTATACATAGTTCCCTATTTCACGTCTTCCACCTCCATCTATGCTACATGTAAGCTAAACATCTGATGTCCAAGTCTGATTGTTTTGTTGCCAATGAAATTTCATTTTTAGTAGTGATACTTCTTTAAAGACTGTTGAGCTAAAGGGACAATGGCAACTTAACCCACTTGTAAAACCATTCAACAGCCAACAATGTTGGCTGAATTCTAGAGTTTTGGCTGGCATCCAAAAGATTTGTAGTCATATTTTGCTTGATATAAAAAGACTGGATTGCAAGAAGATGACCCTGGAAACTCACCTGGTAGGTCCCACTTAGTTTTTGGGTCCAGATTCGGATCTGACTTAAAAAATAATGGGTTCATCTGTAAGAGAGTTTGTGCTACTCTGAAATGAAGAAGTGCAAAGCAGCTACGATATTCATGTTTTTCTTTGCTGTATCTGGTCCTACCGGAAATAGAAGTGTTAGTTTTCTTGCAAGGAAAACGTTTTTCACATATTTTCCAGCCATGTGTGTGAGAGGTGAATAATTTGTAAGTACATTTTTGAGTACTATGTTTACAACTCTAAGGGGAATTAGCCATTAAATTGCTGTTAGGAGTCTGGACCATATAGCTTAATCCTACCATCTTCTTACAGTTGAACTCCAGTTTAAACTGAGTTGTACCTTTCATATGATCATTTGGAAGGAGATTCGGGCTTGAATTATTGTGGTACAAGCTTAGAAGGATGAGGCAGACTGTCTAATAGATTGTGGAGATTATCTTAGCATGTGTTCAGCACTAGGCTAACATAGTCAGTTTGCAAGATGGGCAGAGCTTTTGTTTTGGCCTGCCTGCAGCTACCTAGAACTCTACGATGTTTTATCTTACAAGATCTGCAGGATGAGTCTTAAGATATGCTTCAGAGTGGCACTTCAATTTGGAGGTTTTATTTAAAAAAAACTTCATTGCACCTTAGTGGCTTCCAATACATGGAAGTACTGGTGCTTCCTTACACTTTTCCTGATTCAGTTTCACAATTTTACTGTCACCTGGCACACAGATATTATGAAAACAGAGTTCAAGGGAGGAAGTGTAACTGCTGCTGTAACAGGTGGTTCTAAATGGAAAACCGTGTAGCACTGGAATCTGTTCATATTGTATGAGTGATGCAGAAAGGAGAGGTTATTGGAGCTGGATAGATTTTATTGTCTATAAAGGAGTCTAAATAAAATTTTTATTCCATGTTTTTTTAAGCAATTATAGGAGGTTCTTTCAAAGACTTAATGCATCGCATCTTATTCCAGGGAATAATATACTCATTTGTCAACATCCCATTACAAAAGGAGTAAAAAGCTTACCAGACATTTGTGGAAAATACTATAGTTGAGAGGACTGAAATGGTCAGCTCTATTATTCTTGTAGTTCTCCTTTGATGCATCAAACTTGTGACATTTCTCTGCCTTCCTGAAGAATGTTCCCAACTGTTTCTAATGCCTGATTGCATTTAAGTATTTATCTGTGAATGTATGAGCATGCATGGAAAATTTTGTACTCTCATACGTCTGAGACCCCTTCCTCCAATGAATTACCTTCAGAATTTGCCTGGATAGCTTCACAGGTGATTCAGGGAACTTTGATTTAAAATGTCAGACTAAGTGAGGAATTTGAAAGCAATCCATGCAGTAGCAATGCTTCTCGTTTCATGCTTACACTTACTTTTTCTATCACTTGTGCAGGTCTGTGCTATTCAGTGAAGCATGTTGAGCATACTAAAGGTTAACCTCAGGAATAAATCTGTTGCTGAATAAGGGAGATGATCTGAACCACAGCCAAAACTTTGTGATTTGCAAATCCACCCTTTACCTGAGGTACTGATTTTCCTGTATGATGGAACTAAAAATATCTCTCTGATTTCTAAAGGGAATATCCAGTCTTTCATCTGCTCTAATGTAATTGCTTTGAGAATAAGTACTACTTTCTGCAAGTTGATGACCATCCAGTAGGTGATATGAATTGATAGTGACTTCAATCCCTACTGGGCACCTGAGGCTTCCACTCCAGTACCACAGAATATTCTAATGGGCACCCAGAGTGCACTACTAACTGGGCACTAAAAAGAAACTCTGAAATGGTGGGATCCTTTCTCTCTGCTTTTAGGCAGCTTGTGATGATTGTGCTCATTCTGTGGAGAAGTAGCATTTTTTATCATAGGTTTTTAGAGTTTAAACATGTTTTCTTTTCCATCCTTTTAATAATATGATTTCACACTAAGACCATAGTTATCCCCTGTCTATCACAGCAAACTTATTAGCATATCTCCTTTGGAATGTGCTGTTAAGGTGATTTTTTTTTTTTTTTGCCTTGTGCAATAATTATTTTCATGAATATGTAAGGTTTGGTATGTAACTCCTGAGGCCACATTACAAAGTTCAGATACCTTTTCACTGTAAATATTCATTTTGCTTGTCGACATCTTGTGTGCAGTTTGTTAGTTCATATTATTCATCAACCAAAACTAATATGATATTAGCTTTAAAAGCCCACAACAACTAGTCTCTTAGCATTCCTACAGGAATGTTAAAGCAAATGTGATGCATCTGAGAGAATGCATTCTGAAGCGGTAAAATCTGGTTTTATTAATTACAATGAGAGTATATCCTGATATTTTTCCCCTCTTGTACTTGCTATGGATTGATAAAGTGTAAAATAAAGGCTTAAATTAGGCACATAGATTTTTACTTTAACAGAATAAGGTTAGTTGCAGGTGTAGACACCTCTAGTAAATCAGAATTTTCTTCCTTGTGCTCTGAAATAGTCTTAAATTATTTCTGTGTGCTGGGAATTCTTTTCTGGAAGATGGAGAAGAACCACATTTTCTGCCTTGGTGACCCAGCAGCCTTTTAAACAAAACAATGGAAAGAGCCCATCCTAGACTCCCTACAGGCAGCGGTCTTTGCTTCTTGAAGTTGTTTTCTGTGTGAGCAGTGAGACTGAAGATTATTTGTGACCTTCCATAAAGACCAGGAAACAGTCTGTGGTTGGAAATATCAATGTCAAACAGGTTCAAACTGAAGTTCAAAAGGTAAGAGGGAACTATATCTGTAATATTTTCTGGTTTGGGTAGAACAGGAAGAGACTGGAAACTTTTCCTTCTGTTGCCTGTGTAGGAAAGCAGGTGTAGAAAACCTGGAGTACAAACTCAGTAAAAAAGTTTCTTCTTCCTTTGTCACAAACAACAGAAAGAAATGGCTATATATCAGTGATGTCAAGATTTATTTTACCTGGTTATCATAGATTTATGGTGAATTCTGTTCTGTCCATGTCAGGTATATCTTTCTAAAGCTGTCTTTGTGATACTGGGTTTTGTTTGGTCTAGAGTCCTTACTAACAAAGGAATAACGTAACAAATACTTGAAATTTTTGTCTCTGCTGTTTACTAGATTCATTTTTCCTTTGAGTCTCCAGACACATCTATGTCTGGCTTTGCTAAAATGCAGTGTTTATAGTATGGCTGCATTTGATTCAGCTGCAATTCTCATTTTTAGCAGCTTCTCTTTTACAAGGGTGACACTGGTAGCTCATATACAGTTTTCAAGTAATGATGTTACCCCGTGTGCGTTCCAGCAAGTCTGGCCAAATGTATTTCCCCTGTGAGATCGCAGACTGCTTTGTGCACTACCTTCACTTCCTCATTCATATTGCTTTTATTTCTTGCTTTGTCTCTATTTTTTATAAACTACTTTGTGAACTGTATTTAGTTTCTTAATTCCTGACTATCACCATTTGCTTCATGTGTGTACTGTCCTTGGTTTCTGCTGTGGATAAAACTAAATCTCAAATGCTGCAGATATTGCTACCTTCTATAATGACTTTGAGAGGTAGCCATCTCTTTACTGCCCTGATATATGGGCCAAAAGCTGCCAGTTACGAAAGTAGATGCTTTTTTTGTGTGTGGGGGGGATAAAAGTATTCTATCATTATCAAATTGAGAAGCAAAACTGCTTGATCAACATCCTGTTTTGTTGATCAACAGAATTTCTATAATGTTTCAGTTCTGATGGTTTCTGACAGAAACATTTGACTTCTGGTTTTTGGTAGTCAGACACTTTTTTCCTCTTATTTCAGTTAAGTGGTGTTTTTTGGGAGAGAAGCAGTGGCATATTGTCATTGTCCAGGAGAATTCCTAATATGTCATACTTTGTTTTGAGAAAATAATTTTCACTTTGGATGTTTTTCTCTGAAAGCCTGATGTTTGCTCTACATATGAAAGCATTGCAATATATTCTTGTTGCATGTGAAGTTAACAAAGAAATTACTTTCAGCAATATTGAAAAATATCATGGTTTACACAAGAGCTTAGGAGGTGTATAATCTAATGTTTAAGAACTAGCTGAAGATTTGAGATACCCTGGATCAATTTACCTCTCCAGTGTGGATTTCCTGTTTGGATGAGGGCTGCTTCTGCTCCATTTCCTTAGCTACAATGTGTTTACAGTTACACAGGGTGCTGTGATTAATGTTTGCCAGGTGCTATAATACTGCTGTGGAGGGAGCCATCTAAATATTAGCAATATCCAACTGAGTACCAGCGTGTTTCTGAGAAGTAGAGTCTGATTTTAGAAATGCCCAATGACTCTGAGTAAACATGAGTGTAGAACAATGTGCCTGCAGAAGCATCTTCACACCTAATAAACTTGTAGCCATCAAAAATGAGAATTCATCATATTTAAAGGGATAATGGCTACTGTGTTTATGTTCTAGCTTCATAATTCCCTCAGTGTTCTCTGGGTTACTCTGTATATAGCAAAAAATAGGTACACCTCAATCTAAGTGAAAACTGGCCATGAGATTTGAGCAAAAGAACCTATATCACTCACTCATATTTATGCCCCTCTCATATCTCCTGTTCCTTGGTGTAGTCTTACAATAGATCATGTCCCCAGCCATGTCAGGGTCTGGTGATATTTGCCTCAGATAAGTCAAAGTCATTCACATGTGGCTGTCCCAGAATCCTGTATCTACAGATACCAGTAGAGTATAGGAGACCTTTATTCCAACCAAGAATATGACATTGCTCTAGAACACAGGTTTGCTTGAGTTTATTTGTTGTAGAAATAATCAGGGTGCATGTCAAGGTAGAAGAATGGGATTTTTCTTTGCAAAGACTACCTTCCAGACCAGAAAATCATTTAAGCATGGCCTCTGATGAGGAATAAAAATGGATTCCCTAGTATGTGTGTTAAAAAAAAAATTTAAAAAGTAGATTAGCTCTGGCAATACCTGGGAATATTAGCTGTACCAGATACTTGCTAGATGAAATCTGAATTGTTAAAAGGTTCTGGGAAATTGAGGGGAAAAAGTCTGTCATCTTAACACGCCCTTGGATATATTTAACAGGTTTTACTGTTGTGAATTGCTTCTGAAAGGCCAAATGACATGCCCAGGTATTTCCTTAAGAACTTTTTCAGTTTCCTGAGTCTGGCATTTTGCAGTAGCCTTACTACAAGCATTTAATTGGTCTCCCTTGTATATCTGGCAGTTCTCTCCATCAGTTCAAACTTCCTGTTTGCATTACCTCCCACTCTCAGTAACAGGAGACATATACCTGCATATACTTTTATTTTTTGATCTTTTCTTTATTCCATTTCTGCATGTTAAACTACTTGTGAAACTACAGAGCCAGTCAGGCCACTTTTACATCCTGGTGCTAGCTAATCTGCTCTTTGGCTGTGAAAATTTCACGTTTTGGCAAAGTAACTTTGCAAAATTGTCAAGCATTTTGACTATGCTTATATTCAGCTGTTGAAGTAATCTCACACTGGGAGCATAGTTTCATGTCTGCACTGGGACCTGGACTCATCAGCACCTGTACATACCCATGGAAAAACTTGTTAAAGTCTGCACCATTCCTCATGGGCTCAGTGTTAAATCCTGCAGGAGCAATGCCCAACGCTGCAACTTTGAACACGACCTCCCCTGAAAACACTTCTCAGATTTGTTGCTAATTAATGTCTTCAAAGTTTGAGTTTGTCACTTTCTCAGTAAGCCAGTTTTGCTTATGAATCTGCCACTTAGCTAAGTAACGTTAAACACCACTGTCAAAAGCTGATTGATTGCCACTTTCCATGAAGTTGGATCCAGGCCACCCAGTGGGTGATAGATTTGCATTTGGTGCCTTTTTCCATGTTGCTCTATTTCTGAACCCTTGGTTTTAATTTCTTGCTTTCTCATCTACTTCTGCAGTTCTGTGGCAGAACTACTGGAGCTACAGAGGTTAAATCCTCATTAACTTCTGCTCCCTTACATTCCCTCACCTCTGGATCTTTCTAAACTTTTTTGTACTCTGCATTCCTAAAGGTTTTTTTAATCCCTTTTTTTTACTTTAGCCACAGACTTTTGCAAAATTATACAACAAAAAACAAATATGCTCCTGCCAAGTGAAATGCAATCAGCCCTGTGGATGGCCCAGAGAACATGGGGATCGGGATCCTCAGAATGTGCCTTTCTGCAAAACAGCAGCAGTCATCAGGGATCCTGCAGCTTCTTCCAGCTTCTCTGGGGATGTTCTATCAACTTTGCATCTCAGAGGCTCTTTCCAAGGACTCTACCTTTTCTGTTACAACTTTCTCTTAAACAATAAATGCCTGTGAGACAAAAAGAAGGATGAGTCACCTTGACCTCTCATGGAGCTGTTTATAAAGGAGCAACTTTCTGCCTGTAGGGGAAAAGTTCTATCTGGATGGTGGGAGCAGCTAGAGGTTGTTCTTTCTCATGCTAGAGAGTCAGTGTCACTGGCTCCATTACTGTCCATCTCCTTACTCCAGCAAGAGTAGATTTCCAAAGGTCTTGTCTCTCAATGTGTATGAACAAGCTGAATGCTGTGTGAGTGTTGCTTTAAAAATATGTGCAAAGACTTCAAACAAAAACTTAGATTCTTTATCCTGATTTCCAAAGGCCACATCTTTTATTAGAATGCCCAGAGGAGGCTCCTGTCACTAGAGACAATAAATTTACCAACTTTATTCAGACATTCATAGGAACAAAACCACACCAGAAAGATTATAAATTCACTAATTTAGAGAATTCATTACACCGAGGATGGAAGTGATCACAGTAAACTACATCTGAATGCAGTGTTCTGTTTCTACTCCTTTAAATTAACTTGGCAAAGATATGTGATATTCACTATTAGGATAAAATTATGTGAAGCAGCTGCACAGACAGAGAAGATAAATTATCCTTTACATTGCTGACATTAACCCTACCTGTCATCAGGGCGATGGGACCAGTTGCCCCCTCATCATGTCATTTCATGAGCACATCTACTACCACTACGTTATTTTAAATTATCATAAAACATGAGTGAAAATGGAGACTGTCACCTGTGGTTTTCCATCAACACTTCAGGATGATCATATCTCTTAGATTTTCAGATCCAGAGGGGAAATGTTAGTAGTCATCAGTCAGACTTGGGAGTTCCCATGGGGCATGTACACCTTTGATACCCCCGTAACTGACTTACCACAATGAACCTGAGATGGGGTCAGTATAAAAAATCCCTGAGACCAGAAAGCTACTTCTGCTTTCTGTAGAAGTAGAAAGAAAGAAATAACTGGTGTGCCAGAGGGAGTAGGATGTCCAGCTGGTTTAACATGAAAAGGCTGGTCTACCTTCATTTTTCTCTCCATTTATCTTTTCCAATAATTAGGATGAGGTAAATATTTACCCCCAGTGTTGGACTGCACTAACAGAAACCAGGACTAAACTATGTTGCCAAGCAGAGCTGGCCGGTGGGTGTGTTGTCATGCACTCAGGTGAGGTGAGTGTTTCTGTCACCTCTCTGGCTATGCTGTCTGGCTTTTGACCTCTGAGAAAGATGTGTGGGTTGGGGGAGCTCTGCTAGTGAAAGGTGTCATGCTGGCAGCCTGGGGGTGGAGAGTCCTGGGCCTCTGCCAGCCCAGTGACATGATATGTTGAGGAACGTTGCTCTAATTCTTCACATGCTATGGGCAGAGTCTCCAGGGCATATCTCCAGGTACAGGGAGCTGGGAGGCCAATGATGGCTCTCTAGGCTTT